CAGTAAATATATATAAATATTTATTATATTAAAGTTATATATATATATATATATATTCATATAGCACAAATGTTTAATAAATATTCTCTAAGCACGTTTTAGAATATTCGACTATTCCTGGAATGTTCCTAGAATGTCTGTTGAACATTTGTGCTGTATAGTTATAATCTTGTTGTGTTAGGATGTATTATTCCAATTTATAAGTAATTGATAATGTTAACTTTTAATTTTATCTTTTTTATTTCAGATTTGATTTAAATCTTATAAATAATAATTACTCTTCCTTTCATTTTTGAGTTTATGGTAAGTATTTTTTCCTATAATTTGAATAAAAATATTTTTTATGTTTGTAATACTAATATTAAATCTATTCTTTCTCTTTTCAGGTTCGAGTTTAATTTAAATTATATATTTTGTTTATTTTGCGAAGATTTCATTAAATTAATTAAAAATTATGTTTTAATTATTTACTGATCTTATCAATTACCAATTTAACATATTTATCATTCAAAATTTATTTATTAATTAAGAATAAATTTAATTTTTATCTGTTTTTATTTTAATTTATATAATTTTGGTTAATATAGTAAAAAGTATGTTATGATTTTTATGTGATGATGATGATATTAATTATGATGATGATGATGATGATGATAACTATGATGATGATGATGATGATAACAATAATATTGACAATTGTTATTCATTAAATTTGAGATAAAAATAAAAAATAATATAAAAGATATAAATCATACTTTTATTCAAAATATTGTAATAGAACTACTATAATTATATATTTATTTAATAAATATATTTTTTCTCTTTTATCTCATACTTATTTTTCAATTATATGAAAAACGCCTAGACGAAAAATATATCGCAATAAAGAAGAGAAAGAAGAATTTCAACGACGGCGTCGTGAAAAAATGCAGAAAATCGACGTCGTCGTTGTGAGAATAAAAAGATATTAGTTGTAAAAGGATATTGATTGTAGTAATAATATTGCAAATATATCGTATGAAAATTCTACACGTGATAACATAAGTGAATATTATATTGGTATAAATATATCTTGGCTATAAATATATCTTGTATTCATTGTAATGCAAAACATTTTGCAGCTGAAAAGATTTCTAATAAAGGAAATTCGTTTCATGATTGTTGCAATCATGGTGCAGTATATCTTGAATCATTACCTGAATTCCCTTAATTTCTTCGATCTTTATTTGAAGGTAGTAATGTAAAATCTAACGATTTTTTTAAACATATTCGTAGTTACAATAGCTCTTTTTCTTTTGCATCTTTTAATGCTAATTTGGTTAATTTTCAAGAAAGATGACCTAGTCCATATTGTTTTAAAGTACAAGGGCAAATTTATTATCAAATAAATACAGCATTGTATACTGCGCACAATGAAAGTCCATCTTATGGTCAACTTTTTATTATCGATTCAAATGAGGCGATGGATTATCTACTTAATCAGAATTCAAATTTAGACTTAGAAATTGTACAATGCCTCGAAAATATAATGCGGGAATATAATATATTTGCACAGTCGTATCAAATGGGTGAAGAACTAAAAAATCAACAATTATTAGAAATGGAATCTGATCAGTCATTACCAGAATTACAATTATCATTTATGTTAAAACTTGAGATGGATCGACGTCGATATAATATTCAAAGAACAAATGAAGTCGCTGCTGTTTTTAGTACAACTGCTGATGGGGAAATACCTGAGTCATATGTTACGATATATAATAGAAATACTAAAATTTTGCAACATGTTAGTAGCATGGATCCAAATGTAGAACCATGGATTTATCCATTGTTTTACCCACATGGGTAAAACGAGGATGGCATCGTTATTTAACGAAATTAAACAGTCATAAACGAATAACTAGAAAACAATATATTAAATATCGTATGGCTATTCGAGATGAATTTAATACTTTTTTATTAGGTCGTCGTTTATTTTAACAATGGCTTGTAGATAATTATGTAAAAATGGAAAAAGATAGAATAGAATATAGTAAGATTCATCAAAAAGAATTACGCGTGGAAACGTATCAAGGCTTAATAGATTATATGAAAAATAAAGCTAATAACCCATACAGCACAGAATTGTTGAATCAATGTAGAATGAATGTTGAATTGCAACAATGTCAATATTGCAGCAACATTGAGAAACATAGAATCAACATTGCACAAACCTTCATACAATGTAAAAATGTCCGCGATTGTTGAATTTTCCTTTACATTTCAACGTCTTATGGATATTGAAATCAACGTTTTATAGACGTTTAATCAACGTTCAATCAATTTTTTTTAGACGTTGATACCACATATGTACAAGATGATTGGAAACAATCTTGGGTCTTCGAAACGACGTAATCCTGATTCGATTCTGAAACGAATTTTCTTTTTATACAAAACTTTGTCCGAAGATTAATTTTTAAATTATAAAAAGCAATTGTTTTCTTTTAACAGAACGGATCCCAGCAAACACAACGTTAAATATAACATACATGTAACGTAATTTCCTACTCAACAATATAACTTTTATATAACATACGTGTTATACAACAGTTATATTGAGTAGGAAATTGCAACTAAATAAAAATAAAAATAAAAAAATACATTGGTCCATATTCTGTATCCTCTTTTATCGATAAAAGTGCCTTAAATGTGGCTCCTCACCCAATTAGGTGACTCCTAAGCCTCTTTTAGAGGTACTTTTTTAGATAAAAGAGGATACAGAATATGGGCCTATGTATGTTACATGTAACGTTGTGTTTGCTGGGATGCAAGAGGTAGGTAGTGACGGCAGAACTTACCATCAGATATGACAACTGATTGCTATTTCACATTAGCAACCATGTCCGAGGAAAAGTTGTGCCGCCAATCTCTTATATCCGTCCCGTGATAAGAAAAATATTTTGTTTTATAATTTCAAAAATAGATTCCAGGCAACAGCTTATAAGAAGAAAAATCATTTCAGAGTTTAGTACACATTATGTCTTTTCAAAGACTCAAAATTGTTTCCAATCACACAAAATTTTGTAGATTACAAAATCATTACATATTTATTTCGTTTATGATGTTATTAGAGACATTATAGAAAACTTTGCGCTGTGCAGAAATTAAGTAACTTGGAATTCAAATATATATACATACATACAGTAATAATAATAACAAATTTTTATTAGTAATAAATGTTTCAAGTTATAATTATTAAAAGGCTGTAACATACAAGACAAATGTAGACATAAACGTTTTTACAAATCACAAAAAATAAAAGTAATCGGTCACAGGTTGATCGACTTGCGGCTATTAAAATATGTTAAGGCGAAAAAATATATAAAAGCATATAAACGTTTCTCAAAATCATTTCAAATAAAAATAGTCGCCTACAGACTCATCGACGTTTAAACTTCTGATTATTAAAATGTATTCACGCGAAAAAAGAAATATAGCCATGGAGACGTTTGTAAAATCAAAGTAGGCGTTTTTTTAATAATGAAACTATAACCGATTTCACCAACGTCGATTAAGCTTTAATCTCAGTTCGTCTTTGTTTCAAATATTTTAAATGCGATGTAAAAGGCCTGATCGACGTTTGCGAAATCGTACTTAGTTGGTCCTAGGCTCATCCATGTTTAAACTTTTAAACTTAATATTATATATTAAAATGCTGTCTAATAAAAAAAATTATATATAGACGTATTAAAAATCAAACAAAATTTCAGTCGTCGGCCACAGACTGATCATTGTCAGGGTTGGGTTTCCTGAAAGAAGCAAAAATTTAACAGAATTACTGTACACGTCTTAGTACATTCGCTCATATTATTCTAAACAATACACCGCTTTTATTGAGTTTTCTTTGCTACATATCAATTACTAAGAGGACATTCCAAATTTGTATAAATATTGAAAATGTAAAATTACATTACATTGCATTTTTCGAAATTTTTTAAATTGATTTTTACCAAATAAAAGCAATGTTAAAATGCACACTGTCTCTGCATATATTGTACCATTGTTTTTACGTTTACACTGCGCGCGAACACTTTTACGTTCATTCAACAGATCTTTTTTACCACAACATAAAATTAATAATAATAAAGATAAGTTTGTAAAAAACGTTAATACTACACAACGTACCATTTCATGCATATTTACATCTGTATTTAGTAATATATTCACAACGTATTATAAAGTGAGGTTATAAAAACTTTCAACTTTCTACGGCGAATTCAACACAAATTAACCAATATTTTAATGTGGGTTTTACATACCTTTTTAATTTACCGTTGCAAACCTTTTAGCGTTTTCTGTATCTAAACTATTGCAAAGCTTTGGGTTGTAATCGCCAGCGATTCTTATAGTACTGATGCACCTTTGTCTTTTCTCTGGATTGAGCTCGATCGCTACACCAACGCTGCCAACATCACTCGACGTTGGCTCTTATTGGCTACAACGTTCCCAGATGCGTGACAGGAACCAATATATTGGTTTCAATAATTTTTTACTCGATTTGTAAAAACTGTCTTGAAAAATTGGAAGAGATAGAAATTGTTTATTTTGTTCCCATACAGCTGTAAGAATTTTTTCCAAATGTTGTATTAACTTTTTTATACTTCAAGAAAATGCAAGAAAACGCAATACTAAAAAGTTAATACAAAATTGTAAAAAAATTCTTACAGCTGTATGAGAAGAAAATAAACAATTTGTATCTCTTTCAATTTTTCAAATAGTTTTTAGAATTCGAGTAAAAAATTTTAGAAACCAATAATTTTGTACATATTTCCGAAAAAATATCTTAGAAAATGGAAGTCGTATAAAAAAATGTTTCAAACAAAAATTGTTTATTTCTTTACGTAGAATAAAATTCCGTAATGAAAAATAAATGTTTCTATTAAAAAAACCAAAGTTGACCTTGTCCTGACCTTTGAGACACCATCCAAGCTCAAACTGATAAGAGCAGTAAATATATCTTTTAAAACCCAACAACTTTTGTTTTGAAAGTTTTATCGAAAAACCTCACTGTAAAAAGATATTCAGGGGTTCCTATATTTTGAAGACACCCTGTATACATAAATGAAAGGTGTTTCGCGTAATATATTCAACATTGCAGCAATATCTTGTAATCAATGTTGAATAATCAACATACATTCCATCTAGAAAAAACATCCTCACTTCTACTTTTAACATTGCAACGTCTCATCAAGGTTTTTTCAACTTTCTGTGCTGTATGGGTAATTTAAATGGACGTATTGGAAAAATGATTGTACTTTCTTCTACGTTTATTGGATCACCGCATAATATGTTGCAAAATTATCAAGATACAATGGCAATTGTTAGTAAATTTGGTAAACCAGACCTTTTCATTACGATGACTTATAATCCAAAATGGCGTGAAATTGAAGAAAATCTTTTTCTCTGGTCAGTATGTTTATGATAGACCTGATATTTGTGCTCGAGTTTTTAAGAAGGATTATTTAATCGACTTAATTGTTAAACAAAAATTTTTTGGTAAGGTAGCAGCATATGTATACGTTATTGAATTCAAAAACATGGTTTACCCCATGTGCATATACTGATTACATTACAACGTAATTTTAAAATAACAACTTCACATGTTAACATTTACATGTTAACTTCACATGATAATTATATTTCTGCTGAAATTCCTGATCCATGTAAAAATCGTATCTTACATAAAATAGTTATGAAACATATGATCCATGTGGTGATTGGTGTATGATAAATGGACAATGTTCTAAACACTATCTGAGACCATTTCTTGAAGAAACTATAATGGATATAGATGCGTATCCTTATTATCGTCGACGAAATGTTAGTAGGACTTTTAAACGTCCGGATGGATAATTTAGTTGATAACCGCCCTTATAGAAATATCATACTAAGAATCATTGATAATTACTTATTTTCAGTATTAAAAATACTGGATAATAAGTAATTATCAATGATTCTTAGTATGATATTTCTATAAGGGCGTCATGTAGTTCCGTATAGTCCTGTATTGTCAGTTATATTTAATTGTTATATTAACGTTGAAGTAGTTTCAAATATAAAATCTGTTAAATATTTATATAAATATATTTATAAAGGTCATGATGTCGCTGCTATAACAATTGAACCAATAACAGAAAATGTACTTATAGATCATGATATACGTGATTATATTGAAGTTCGTTATGTAGGAACTATCGAAGCTAGCTGCCGTATACTCGGTAAGAAATTACAAGATAAAAGCCATACTGTAGTAAATGCCTGTTCATAGTTTGCCTGTTCATTTATCTAATGAACATAACATAACTATTGAAAATGAATCTATTGAAGATGCAATGTCTTCTACTTTAAATCAAGTTACTATGTTAATAGACTATTTTGCATTAAATTTACGTGATGAAGAAGCAAAAAATTATTTATAAAGAATTATTTATACAGAAATTCCATGCTATTATACATTTAAAAAAGAAAAAATTAATGGTCGAAATATTTCATGTTGGATTAAACGTAGTAGTCATTATAATTATATATGACGAATATATTCTGTTAGTCCAACTCAAGTAGAATTATTTTATTTACGGTTATTACTACTCAATGTTAAGGGAGCTACAAGTTTTGAACATTTAAGAACTAAAAAAGAGAATAAATAAACAATATTATCAAACGTTTTCTGCTACATATTTAGCTTTAGGTTTAATTGAAGATGATGATGAATGGAGACGAACTATGAATGAAGCTGTTAAATGGATGATGCCGCAACTTCGTAGGTTATTTGTACGTATTTTAATTCATTGTCATATCCGTTATATCCTGAAAAACTTTGGGAAAATTTTAAAGTAGCAATATCCGAAGATTATGCAAGACATATGGTATATTACAAGGACAAAGAAAAGCATATATTCAAATTAATTCTTTGCTTCGTACGGAAGATAAAAGTTTAGCGGATTTTCCACAAATGAAACAATTAACAGAAAACAGTAAAGAGGACGATTGTTTGCCAACTAATCAAATATTAGTAATTGGTATGAGACAATATAACCAAATAAATGAGAAACAAAAAGAAGTAGTTGATATTGTGCTAAATCGATTAGAAAATAATAATCATAATAATAATTGTTTCTATATTGATGGTCCATTATCAGGTGGATCAGGTAAAACATTTGTTTATAATATTATTTATTACTTAACTAAAATTCGAGGTAAACGTGTGTGTACTATGGTTTTCACAGGAATTGCAGCGACGTTACTTCCTGAAGGAAAAACAGTTCATAAAACATTTGGTTTATCAGTTCCATTATTTAATGATTCGTCATCCAGTATTAAAATTTAGTCGAAGGAAGCTCAATATTTAAAAGAAGTAGATATCTTTATTTGGGATAAAGCGCCTATGGCACCATGATACGCTCTAGACATTAACGTTGCGTGATATTATTATTGAGTAATTGAGTAATGATTTTTGGTGGAAAAATTATTTTATTAGCTGGTGACTTTAAACAACTTCTTCCGATAAAGATGCATAGTATTCGTAGTAAAATTGTAAATCTTTCTATCAAATTTAGCTCTACTTGGAAATATTTTGTAAATTTTTCTCTAACGCAAAACATACGAGTTCTTCCTGAAGAAATAGAATTTGCAAAATTTTTACTAACTATAGGTGATGGAACATTTAATGATAATTTATATCCCCATTTAATGATAATTTATATCCCCATAGAAGGAGGAGGGCATACTAGGTGGCGGCGGAACGCCGTGCGTTCGAGATCTGCATATCTTTTTCGTTCCAGAAAGAGAAAAATATCGAGAGCGTGGTCTTGCTAGGCCGGGACTCGAACCCGGGTCTTTCGCTTGCCGGATGACTGTTCTAAACCACTGAGCTACCTGACGCTCCACGCTCACAACACTCTCCTCTTCCTAGATAACGCTCAGAGATGCCGTTCGGAAGCGACATCTCTGGCGCGATCCCGAGCGCACGGCGACTACAGAGAGAAACAATGTTACTGTACCAAATGATACAGCTGTCAGTCTCTCAAAGTCAAAGGTTGCTATCCTTTAAGACCTGCTGTCCATGTATGCCCGTCTCCACCGTTACCCCTCCTCAACCGGTGCAAATAATACAAATAAGCCCCGGGGTCGACACCAATTTTTTGGCAGCCCCCGAGTGCTTGGACGCAATGCGCCATGGGGGATAAAAATTTTGATAATAATATACAAATTCCTGAATGTGTTACGACAGTTGAAACAGATATTGTAATAGACATATGGTGATATAATACAAAAAAATATTTGATAAAATAGTTACAACTACGATACTTGTGGCAAGAAACATTGACGTTGATGAAATTAATAAACAAATTGTAGAATTATTAGATATTACTGGCGAACGAGTTTATACAAGTATAGATAGTGTTATAAATTGCGATAGTAATAATGATATTGATGAAGTTATATTGCCAGAATATTTAAATAGTCTTTCTCCGCCATCTCTTCCTCCTCATGAATTACGTTTAAGACCAAACTGTATTATTATATTAATTAGAAATCTTAGTATCAATGAAGGTCTTTGTAACAGTACTAGATTAATAATTATTGAACTTGGTAATCATTTATTGAAATGTAAGATCTTGAGCGATGATAAAAAAGGAGATATTGTTTTCTTGAATCGTATAATATTGTATTGTGAAAATATATATCCTTTTACTGTTACCAGGAGACAATTTTCAATAAAATTAGCTTTTGTTATGACAATTAATAAGTCTCAGGGACAAACATTTGATATAGTGGCAATAGATCTTTGTAAAGATGTATTTAATCATGGGCTACTTTATGTTGCGTTTTCGCGAGTACGTTCTTGGCAAGCATTAAAAGTATATCTTAGTAGTCAACGAAAAAGTAGATATGTTAAAAATTATATATATAAAGAATTATTTATATAATCTTTTGTTTTTTCTGAGAAAATATTAAATGCTGTATTTGAGAAAATGTGAAAAACATGACGTATATAAAAAGAGAAAATCTGATAAATGAGGGAAACTATAACTTTTCAACTATAACTATAACTTTTCATTTCCTATTTTTATTTGCCCATATTTTTTCATGTCTCTCTCTGTCTCTTCGTGTATCCCCCTGTCTCTCCCTATCTCTCTCTCTGTCTTCCCCTGCCTATCCCTCTTTCCCTGTTTCTCCCTCTCTCACCCTGTCTCCCCCTATCTTTCCCTGTCTCTCCCTGTCTCTCCCTCTTTCCCTGCCTCTCCCTGTATCTCTCTGTCAGTATATAACGATTAACTGTCTTCAGTTTTCCCTCGTTTCTCTATCTTTCCTTTCCTGTTTTCATTTGCCCATATTTCTCCCTGTCTCTATCTGTCTCTCCGTATATCCCCATGTCTCTCGTTGTTTCTCCCTGTCTCTCCCTGTCTTTCCCTGCTTCTTCCTGTCCCTCCTTGCTCTTCCCTGTCTCTCCCTGTCACTCCTTATCTCTCCCTGCCTTTTTTCTGTCTTTCCCTCTTTCGCTGTCTCTCACTGATTCTCCCGGTTACTTCCTGTCTCTCTTTGTTTCTCAGTTTTTCTCCCTCTCTCTCCC